GGAGAATTCTAGGTCTTGTTAGTTATGTGAGTTGGTAGGGTGGGGGAGGTGGTGGTAAGGGGGAGAGAGAGAGGTACCCTTGTCGCCTTTCATGATGACCCAGATGCGGGAGCCGACGCACTTGTCGATGAGTTCTGCCTCACAACAACCAACATTAGCAAGTGTTTTTGGGATTGGTGGGAGGAAAGGGGGGGAAGGTAACACCGAGGGGGAGGAGTTGGGAGGCCATTTCTTGTTTCTGTATCTTGGTCTCGTTTGATGTTTGTTGGTTCAATGTGAGTGGGTTGGACATGAGTTTGAGTTGAAGCAATAAGCAGTTGTGTGAGGTGGGCGAGCTTGAGCTGTAGTTGCTGTCTTGGCAAAGTCGTAATTACCGTATTTCGGTTACAGTATGCAAGTCCCGTGATATCGCGTAAAGCACTCACCCTCGTGCTTCGGTAGTTGCATATTGGTCGATCCATCCTTCTCCAAACTGAACAACCTACCCCAAATTCAACCCCAACCCGCCCAAACTTCGGCTCCCGGCGAGCATTTCTCCAATCGCTACCTTTTGGGAAGAACTGCCCCTCCTTTTTAACTCTTTACCTGTATGGATAGCGCGTTTGTCGTGCTGCAGTGTTGCCTAGATTGTGGACCATGGCACTGGCACACATGACGCGACTTCTCCTATCATGTTTTCTTCGATCAAGTCCTCCTCGTCTAACACTGTGAGACGTTTGGTGGGGAATAGGTATTTGTAAGTCTTTTCATCGTTGGGTCAAGGATTTTGGGCCTGACTCAGGTTGCAGCTATACCACTGTGAGATGTGCTGCTGGAAGGGGCAGGATGGGTGGGAGAAACCAGCAAGTATGGGATTCTAGCAGGGGGGTTGTTTTTGCTGGGCAGAGCAGGGGGTTTACGCCTTCTCTGATGAGACCAACTGAGGCTGGGGAGCGGACGACGGTGGAGAGGGAGACTTTTGAGAAGAGTGTTGAGGAGGGAGGGGAGGTTGCTGAGGAGAGGGTGGAGGTGAAGGTTGAAAAGGTCGAGACTGTCGGTGTTACGGGCGAGGAGGGACAGGAAAAGGCTGAGGATGGGGAGAAGAAGGTTGAAGGTGGGGAGAAGGAAGAAAAGCGCGAGGAAGAAGTCCTCACACCACCACACACACCCCTCGACTACAAGATCCCCGACGACATCTTCCTCGCAGCCAAGAAAGCCCCCGAGGGCTCACCGAAATCCTACTGGAGCTACCAAATGTACCGGGGGCCTCAAAATCTAAGGCCAAAGGTCCATTACTGCACCACCCAGACCGTCGCCGAGCGCGTCATCCAGAGATATTTCCTCAACGAGCCACTGCTAGGATTCGACCTTGAATGGATGGCAGACGCTCTGCCATGGCACGGGGCGAGAAAAAACGTCTCGCTTATACAAATCGCGTCACCAACCCGGATTGCCCTTTTTCATGTGGCCCTCTATCCTAAAAGTAAACCCCTCGCCACGCCTCTTTTGAAGAAGATATTGGAGGATCCAAAAATCACCAAGGTCGGCGTTTGGGTCATGGGCGACGCCAGTAAAGTGCAAAGGTATCTCAAGATCACCCCAAGGGGACTGTTCGAACTGAGCCACTTGTACAAGCTGGTCAAATATTGCGAGAGCGGGGAGCACAGCCTCATCAACAAGAAGCTGGTCAGTCTTGGGAAGCAAGCCGAGGAGGTGTTAAAGCTGCCATTATACAAAGAGCTTGATGTTCGAACAAGCAACTGGTTACAGTCGCTGCGGCTCGATCAAATCATATGTAAGCCCCCCCCCCCTCCCACCGCCTCCTTTTGCTCTACTTTTCCAAAACTAACACCTCCCGGCAGACTCAGCCTCAGACGCCTACGCCGGCGTCCAAATCTACTCCATGCTCAACCACCAACGCCTCCAACTCTCCCCCAGCCCTCCCCTCCCCCACCCCGCCGAACTCAAACTCCCTATTGAACTCCCCGATCACACCGTCCTCCCCCCCTCGACAGAAACGGACGAAATAGAAATGACGCCCGCCGAAGCCGTATCCGATCCAAAACTCACCACCACCACCACCACCACCAAAAAGCCACGGGAATCCTCCACCTTCAAAAAGGAAAAGCACCCCCTCGTCCGCGAAGCCGACATGTGGCTAGCACAATACTTTGTCTCCCACCCCCAACCGGCAAACGCCACCAGCGCCACGGCCGTCATGCCCTCCCACCTGAGGGCGTATTACATCTGGCATCACAACCCAGAGCAGAGCATACAAGACATCTGCGCCCTGCTCCGCGACCCGCCGCTGCAGGTGGCGACGGTGGAGAATTACATCTTCAAGGCTATCAAGCGGGCTGGTGTGCAGTATGACAAGGCGAGGGTGATCGAGATGCTGGAAGCGAAAAGGCAGGCTGCGGCACCGGGGGCGAAGTTTTTCGAGTCCGAGTTTCTAAGCAAGTTGAAGAAGGAGGAGGAGGCAGCGATGGAGGAGACGGTGATGGAGGAGACGAGGAGGGAGGATAGTGTTGTTGTGTAAAATGGGCTATACAATACAACAAAAGGTTGGCAGAGAAGGAAAAGCTTGTTTGGAAAAGAAAGTGTAAAACTGAGAAAACAAAGTCTATGATATGAATGGGGAAACAGAACGTTTCGCCTCGGGGGGCCCTAGAAAATAGGCATAACATCACTGTGGAGACACCATTGACCTCGATTACGATAATAACAAATCACATCAAACCAGATGCAAAAACAACCCACAATTCAAACTTGGTATACATTTCAAATAATCAATCACCTACTATGGGTATAACCTCCCTCTTACTATCTCTCTCTCTTTCCGCCCCCCCCCCCCCCCATCACCTCCTTGCTCCCTCCCCCTACTCCCTAACCACATCCCTCCCCCGATTAACCTGCACCTTCTTATCCTCCCCCCCGCTCAAAATCCCCAACTCCCTATCCCACACAACCCCAAACACCTTCGCCCCCTCCCCAGCAACACTCTTCTTCTTCCCCTGCCTGCTCTCCCTCTCAAAAACATAAACCGGCTCGCTCACATTACCCCCCACCCCCCCTTCGCTCTCCCCCCCACTAGCAGGCCTCACGCTCCTCAAGTCCCAAATCCTGCACGTCCCGTCGTGGCTCCCGCTCACAAGCGAGTATTCGTTTTCCGGATTGGCCGCCAAAGCGACAACCTTGTTCGTGTGCCCTCTCAGCGTCATCACGCTCGTCGTAGCAGCAGAGGCGCGGGGGTCGACGAGCGTGATGTGTCTTGCCGACGTGCCGACAGCAAGCAATGGTGCGCCGTTCGGTCTTGGAATAGCGCACAACGACAGCAGAGAGTGAGAAAGGGTGAGGTTGGCAACGACAGAGCCAGTGGTCAAATCGAGCGTCTTGACCGTGTGGTCTTGCGAGACGGAGTAGCCTACTGTGTGGTCTCTTGGGTAAAAGAAGGCAGCTGTGGGGGGGGCGTTGTGGATTTGCATGAGGAAGAGAGGGCCACGCTGGGGGGTGGTGACAGAAGAGGCAACCTTCCTCCGCTTGGAAGTGTGCGCGTTAGGGAGGAGGGAGGCGTCGGCCTCAGGGGAGGAGGACTTGGAGGCGGACCAGAGAGCGACGGAGCCGTCGGCGGATGCGGTGAGGATGCGCTTGGAGGGGCCGTGGACTTCGAGGGAGTCGACGCTGGCGCGGTGGCCGTAGAGCTCGAGGGTGGGCTTGAGTTCTGCTTGGCCTGAGGCGCCCGGGTCGGTGTACTTCCACACGCGGACTGATCTGTCCATGCCGGTCGAGGCGATCTGAGTGGAGGAGATGAACTTGGCGGCTTTGATGCTGGCGGAGTGACCGCCGTGGCTGGCCGAGGGGGCGGTAACGAGGACCTCACCCGAGGCATTCCATATTCTGAGGAGACCGTCGTAGCTGGCCGAGAGGATCCTTTCTTGGCCGCGGGAGAAGTTCTCGCCTGACCAGCGGCCGGCGGGGGAGGTGGCAGTGAGGGCATCAACAGATGAAACCCAATCGTCATGCTCGAACGAGGCTTCGAATACGGGGGGTATTAAGGAACGGACGTATTGGAGTGTGAGGTTCGTTTCGAGGGACAGGCCCTCAGAGTTGAGGTAGTCTTCGAGGCTGGACCGGAGGAAGCTGCCGTTGACGAGGAAGTCGAAGGGGATGGAGCCTGAATCGAGCATCAGGTCCGAGTTGAGAATACGAGAGAGGCCATAGCGGCGGATATCGGCGGGAACGAGGAGTTGTCTCTTCTCTTCTGGGAGCTGGAGATCGGCTTCGTTGGTGGTGAAGGTCACCTTGACCTGGGCGCCGGGCGCATCGTTCATTGGCTCGTCCATTGTGGTTATCTGAGGGTGTGGATGGTTGAAGACGGAATCAATTGGACCTGCTCTAGAGGTATTGGAGAATGTCGGGTCAAAACAGAGGGCTAATAATGAAAGATGTCGAGTTATGGTCCTCTGGTGCAAAAATCAAGCTACTGTTGCAGGGATCGCATTCAATCTCAAGATTTTTTTTTTGTCCCTGCAGCTCGAGTTCAGCGATTTGGAACCCCACGGCAGGCTTATCTTATCGCAAGCCTTATTTAGCGGGGCACCTTTTTGGGCTAGAACTCAATTAATTACAGGCCATCAGGACGCGTCTACCGCGTCTGCGCGTCTTGCTAAATTGGGCTTTGAATCTCCAGTGCATGTTCTCGGCGACCCGGAAACACCAGACAGTAACCTGAAAGTGCATCAGGAACAGCCCATCATGGTGAAGCTCGAAGATATTGCCGGTCTCGGTCTGCTACAGGCACCACCAAAGTAGGAGCAAGTCTCTCATCAATTCCAATGAAAAACATCACTAACTGGTGCGCCCTAGAACCGACTCCAAGAACACCGACCTGGAGAGAGCCCCTTCCAACTACAAGTCACTCAATACATTTGCGCTGCCCAAAGCCCGACAATACCAACAACAGTTTGCCGATATATACTTCCTACGCCTGACCAAGATCAAACCTGCTGTGGAACAGATCGCTCACGAAGCATGGGATGATACAGTGCTGGGAGGTGAAAATGCAAAGAAGGTCGAGCGGGTTCTCGATGTGCGCCAGGGAGAGCTGTGCTGGGTGGCAGGGACGGTCTACATGGACATGCCCCTGAAGCCAAGTATTCTCGAGGACGTGTCCAAAGACGCAAGCCGCCCTCTGTCTCTGTGTGAGATTCATGTTGACTTCAGGCTAACATGATACTCAGCGCTGGATTTCAGCCCCGACCTCTGTCGGCCACTACTACTCGGAAGATGGCAAGGACCAAGTCATGCTCGAAGACGACTCCGGTCGCATCAGACTCGTTGGCGAACCCCTCAAGAACTACTTCCTGGTGACTGGCTGCATCATCGCCGTCATGGGCACGGAGAATGCCAACGGTGAATTCGAAGTGATTGATCTCAAGTTTGCCGACCTTCCACCACAACCACCACGGTGGGCCCTGTCCGACAAGAAACCCAAATCTGAAGATGTCTCCATGGTTGATGTTGGTTCTCCCTCCAAAAAGATCGCCATCATATCAGGCCTTGAGTTCTCGGGATTTTCTACAGCCTACAGTGCCGAATTGAAAGTCCTGAGAGAATTCCTTGCTGCCCAAGCCCTCGACCCAGAGACACAATCCAACGAACAATCCAAGATCTCTCGCCTGATAATAGCAGGCAACTCCATCGCCGAAGCCAGTTCCTCAGACCCTCACTCCAACAACCCCAACACCAAGACACACGCCAAGAAATACGGCTACGACGCCTCCGCATACAATCCCGCCCCGTCGCAACTCCTCGACTCCTTCCTCAACGAGCTTCTCCCTAGCTTACCAATAACCCTGCTCCCTGGCGCCAACGACCCCGCCAACGTCTCTTATCCTCAACAACCAATCCACTCTGCCATGTTCCCCGAGTCCAGGTATTATGGCCCAACACCTACCCATCCTGATCAGACAGGGTGGCTAGACGCAACAACCAACCCATTCGAATCAGAAATTGAAGGCTGGCGCGTGCTGGGCACTTCTGGTCAGAACCTGGATGACATCTGCAAGTACATGGAGGACCCAGATCGCCTCGGCCTGATGGAGGCCATGTGCAGGTGGAGGTGTTCTGCCCCTACCGCCCCGGATACACTCTGGTCATATCCATTCCAGGATGACGAGCCATTCGTCATGAAGGAGTGCCCACACTTGTACTTTGTGGGTTCGCAGCCAAAGTTTGGCAGCAAGGTCATTGAGGGGCCGGACGGGCAGATAGTCAGGTTGGTTTTGGTGCCAAAGTTTAGTGAGACCAAAGAGGTGGTCTTGGTTGATACCGAGACGTTGGACGTAAGTTTGGTCAGACTTTCGGCCGCATCGTGAGACGAGAGGAAGATATTTTATATTAGCGTTGTTAGCATAGCCGGAGGATGAGACTTGGGAATCTAAATATGGCAACCTCACCAGAATTTGAGGATGTCGATTCATCTTGTTCCTGGGGTCTAATCACGTCCCGTTCGTCCCAATCTCGTGACAAACACTCACGGGAAATACCAAGTTAAATCAAGGCAATTTTCATTGTTATTATCAATTCTTGCCATCCCCATCAACGTCTTGAGGTCTTGATATCCTCAAATCATGGTTGCCTAGCAACTGCCATGCCTTGACCATTCAGGGGGCCTGTTGAGCAACTGATAACCCACGAAGCAACCAAAGTGATGCATGAAGCTCCGTGACCGACGCCCTGTTTTCCCGAACCGGATGCCTCGTTTGATAACATCAACACCCCATGTCCCATTTTTGATGCCTGATAATGTAGAACCAATGCGTCAAAACAAAACCTCAACGCGTAGAGATGATAAGGCGACGCCTAAAAATAATAAACTTATGCCCGTTAGCCCCCTTTCAGATCCGGAAGCACTTCCACCCGCCCCCGACCTTGTCAATGCTGATGACCAAGCTCTTCAGCCTTCTGGAAAGGGGAATGTCCTCGATCTCGACCCAGTCCTCCTCCTCCTCCACCACCTCCACCACCCCATCATCATCATCATCATCATCATCATCATAGCTGTCGTCATCACTGTCGCTCTCTTCATCGCTGTCCGTGTTGTCATCATCGTCATCCTCCTCATCACTGCCCTCCTCTTCAT